GCTGATAATGAGAGCCTTCCTGATCCAGACCACTGCTCTTGAAAAGCCCAGACTACTTGAAGGCCATGATGAATGTGAAACCACTTGTCGAAACTGTCTGGAGTCACGACCTCGTAGCTTGTCTTGGTGTAGAATTCCTCTGGGATGTCCTTATATCTCTGCTTCAGCCGCGCCACGTGCTCGCTGGAGAGGTAATCTGGGAAGCTGTCCTCCATGTAAACCTGACCGCCCCAGTGCCGAAGCATGCCGTGGTGTTCAGCTGTGCCAGTGAATATCGCTGTCCTGGTGGTCGCACTGTCCGCTGGTGCTTCTTGTCCGGGAGTGCTGCCGTCCTTTGGTGCCGAGGATGTTGATGCCATGAGGTGTGTCTTCTGCGGAGTTGAACTCTGGTCCTCCTGGGTGCAAGAGGAAACAAATGCCGCAGTATCTGCCCTGAGAATCTTGGCGTTGATGTTCTTCACTGTGTGCATCAGCATCTCGACCACTTGAGCTGAAACTGCTGGTTCCTCGCGCTGCTGACCTTCGGGATCGTCCGTCGGCAACAGGTAGTGGCTGCTGTCCGTGAGAAGGACCCTGACCACATGCACGTCCGACGGGTCACTGTCAGAGGCCAGCACGAGAGCTCCATTGCCGTCATCTGTGAGTCCATGTACGAGTAGAGCTCTGTAGTGAACCAGGGGAGGCAGCGGCAGCAGGAACGGGCAGTTGGAGCCGCTCTCGCCGATGAGGTCGCCGTGCCAGACCAACTCGAGACGAGAGCATCGAGCCTTCTGTGCCACATGTCCCAGTCCAGAAGTAGGTCTGCCATTGATGCCCGTGAAGCTGCCTGATCCTGGGGTGATCTTGTAGTTCTGAGTGTCTTTGCCATTGTGCTGCAGCAACGTATCTGTGCCGCAGATGCCAGAAGCCGCTCCAGGGTCGATGATGAATCCTTTGCGCTGTCGACCTCTGACAAGATGGTATGCCTCGAAGGTGTCCTCGCGCTCGCTGAAGATGCTGAGGACAAACGCTGAGTTGTTCTTGTCGATCGAGCTAGAGCTTGCTTCTGCTCTGCTGGTCGATCGTGCTGCGGGTAGATCTGGGTACTGCTGCTGGGTAGGTAGGCCCAGCCCGAACATAGCATGCTTCTTTTCGTTCCGAAAGAACTTCGAGACCGTCGCCTCGCCGAAGTCGAAGATGCGCTCCTGCGTGGACTTGTCGTCCGAGATTGTGGTGTGAGCGTCCGAGCCTGCTCCGAGGGGATATTCTGCCAGGAGCCGGCGTCGCTCGAGTTCGGTCGAGTCGGAGGTCGAGGTGATGGTCGCCATGGATCTGACTGCTGTTCGAACCAGGGATCCTTGCCGTCATAGCCTGCGATGTCCTCTTCAGTGGCCATGCCGTGAGTCTCCTCCTCGATTCTCGCTTCTTCTTTCCTGATTGCCGTCAAGTATCGTTGTTCTGCCACTGCTCCTGGATGTCGGGTTATGCTGTCGAAGCCGTCCGAAGGTGTCGAAGGAGGTGGCAGCGTGATGTCTGTCGCCGTCGTGTCCTTCGCGGTGTTGGTGCCGAGCCCGACCAGGAAGCCTTTTCTGCTGGAAGCTTTGTTGACCGGGCAATCCTTCACGCTGTGCCACCAGCTGCCGCACTTGTCACATCCAGAGCTTGATCCTGAACCTCGCGTGGTATGTACGGCCGATCCTGCTGGAACTTGAGGTTGTTGTCCAGATCCTCGATGCAAGTCCATCACAGGGCCATGTCGATCATCCGAGCCTGTACCTTTGCCCTTCTTGCCTTTGCCTTTGCCCTTACTCTTACCCTTGTTACCATAATAATCACGTCCTCGCCGATCCTTGCCACCTGCCTTTCCACGACCAAACGTGCGTGATCTGTTCTTGCCTTTGCCACCTTTGCTTGAACTCCTGCGACGAAATCCGTAGCCACCTTTACCATTGCCGCAGCCCTGGCCTTTTCGTCGCCCACCGTATTTGCCGTAGAAAGCCAGATCATGAGGAGGACCGTCGAGTGGGTCATCGAGTAGAGCTTCTTCGTCATCATGATCTTCATCCTGTTCGTAGTCTTCATCATCTTGGTAATACCATGCCTGAAACTCATTTGCACTCCAAGTGCCGTCCCAGCAATCAGAAACCATATATGAAAGATAATCCATGTCCTCTGAAGCAAGGTTGAGGTAATATGCCTGCTCGTGGGTGTAGTCGTATATGTACCAGCTTCCGTCGTAATCAGTGAAATACTCAACCTGACTGTATTCTGGTTCTTCATCGTCGTCATCATACGTCAATAAAATACCCTGCGTGTCGCCGTCGCCGATCTCCTTCTGTCCTTTGCTGAACTTCATCAAAAGCTTATAAATGTCCGTGAACTGGCTCCTGTCACCGTCTACTTTGAGCATCAGGTCGTCTATGAATCTCGGAGCCAGTCCAGCCTTGGCCAGCAAGAGGTGTGTCAAACCGACTTGGTTGATGTTCAGCGTCGCGTGCTCTTCTGCTGCCTCATATCGTAACTTGAAAGCCGTTAGATAGTCCAAGAGCGAGTGCGAACCACGATGTAGGTCGAAGAATCTGTCAAGGTGGAACGCCTGCAAGTCTTGACTGTCATCGCCAAATGCCGTCCTGAGATCTGCTAATATCTGTTGCAGTCCTGAAGGTGTGGCCAATAGGCCAGCATTGAGGTCCTCAGGTTCCGCCAGCGCATTCACCGCCTCGTCCTGGTAGAGCATACTGCCGTCCTGGCGCCTGAGCCGTATCTTCATCGCGATGCGATAAGCTGAACCCTTCAGTCTGCCAACAACCACGCTGCCCTGGCAGTCGCCAGGGATGTCTGTCATTCTCATCCAGAGCCGCAACTTCTCCTCGTAGGTGATCAGCGAATAGTTGCGAACATATGGCCGCCATCCTGGCGGGCACTGCCTGGTATACTCGTCCAGCGGAATGCCTCGAAGGTCTGCTGAAGCCGCCATAGTGTATGGCTGATGTCGTACTTGTAGATCTTGATATACTCGAAGAGGTGCTTGTCAACGACGAGTCGCTGACCTTCGCGAGCTGCTCGGAGGAGCCCCCGCGGTATTGCTGCTCGAAGACGTGTTCGTATGTGTGAACTGTGGAGTAGCTGAACTCCTCGATCTCCTGCGAGCAAGAGATGAACAATCCACGAAATACGTAGAGTACCTGAGAGATCGTAAAGTGAGGTTTACGATATCGAAAGGAACTACGGGTCCGAGGACCGGTAGCTCCGCTACCAAAGTCCGATTTTCGGTTAGCTTGACCCAAGACGTCTATAGCACGGATTGCCTTCTGTCTGCTACTCTATCTGCTGCTAACACATGCCTGGAATCTACCTGGATTCTGACTCTCCTCCCCCCTCCTCCCCCCTCCTCCCCTCCTCCCCCCTCCTGCCCCCTCCTCCCCCCTCCTCCCCCCTCCTCCCCCGTCCTCCCCTCCTCCCCCCTCCTCCCCCCTCCTCCCAGCCTGCCCGCCTCCGCTCCCCCTCCCCCCTCCTCCTCCTCGCCCTCCGCTGGGGCCACAGCACCCGTCCCTCTCTGGGACGGGTGGCCTCCGGGGCCAGGCGCGCGAGGGAGCGAACCCAGGGGCCGGCCGGCCCTGCGCGGCACGTGCGCAGGCCGGCAGGCGCGGCTCGTGCTGCGGCTCCCCTCTCCCTTGGGTTATACCACGCGTGCAGAGCGGGAGGCCGCTGAAGTTGACGAACCAACAACACACACACCCATACCCATAGGGGGGTTCGGAGAGGGCTATGGGTACGTGTTGTCGGATGGGGATCCCCACTCGAACGGGAGCGTTCCCCAGGGTCCGACAACCCGCACCCATACCCGTAGCGAGTCCTCCCCCCAACGACCGCCCCTATGGGTATGGGTGTGTGTTGTTCGTTCGTCAGAAGTGACGTCTTTCGTGCTTGTGGAGGGCTCTCTTGGAGGTCTCCTGTCCAGTCCAGACCAGGTCAGCCCGGGAAAGCGCCTTTGAGCGTCACTCTCCGCCCCTCCTTCCCCCTTGCAGACGACAGTGTCATGGCTTCTCGCGCTGCTGACGGCAGCGACTCCGACAACTGCGATGAGGCCTACGTCGTTGACGACGGTGACCAACTCGACGACCAGATACTATACGTACTCTTGATGATAGAGACGGAGACGACCACCCCGATTTGTATGGTAACCATGATGCTGCTGCTGCTGATGATGGTGGTGGTGGTGGTGATGATGCTGGTTGATGATGACGGTCATCAGGACGATTCTGGTGTTGGTGACAATGAGGATGATGGTGATGATGGTGATGCTCTCAGCCAATGATGCTTGAGATGAAGACGAAAATGAAGATCACAACCAAGGACGATGACGATGATTACGACGACGGTGGTAATTATAATCGTGGCGGTAAGATCGACCATGCCACGGGTAGCGACGACTGTGTTGACGAAGTCAACGACGAAGCAAGCACTGAGCTCGAAATGTCTGGCAGGCGATACGACCGCGAGCCGATACGCTGGCGAGCGCCTAGTCCATACATTCCACTTACAGGCGACGTGATGCCTCGCCTGTGGACCCGAGGGCTAGATCCTGGGGCAGACGAGGCCGCTGGAGCAGCACGGGCTTCGCCGTCGTGGTGGTGTGCAGTGCATTTCGCTGCTGGCGTAAGTGGGGCCGTGACCGGGGCTACCCCTGGAGTGCCGCAGGGGAGGGTGGCACTGCCAAGTACCGCAAGTGAGCGTTTCGCACTGGCCGCGCCACGACCGTGCCTTTTGTGCTCGAGGGCCTCCTTCATCCAGCCGTGCCGAGGGCGGTGCCTGGCCGGTCTGACGCACTGCCTCTCGCGCTGGCTTTCGTGCCTGCACGTGCTGCCACTTGCCCCACCCCTCTTCTGCCAAGCCACGGGGTCTTGCGCCCTGCGTCCTGTGAATCCCCCAACTCCCAACTCTTGCACGCTTGACGGCTGGTTCGCGGAAGATAGAAAGCGTGCGCGCGCCGTGCCCCAACATTCGCCGCCCGCCCACGG